AATGTTCTTTTTGTAAAGTTATATGATGAAAAAGAAAAAAAAAAACTGTTTGATATGTTCCTGTTGCTATTTTCAATTTTGTATTTCTTTTAGACAATCTTTTTCCACAATAATTTTGATTATAAAAATATTATATTATGATGATGAAACTATTTCAGGTAAATTAATGTGTCGCGCTTGTCATTTGGCCACGATCGGAGCGGCGACGGGACCAGGCCTCTCGCCAGCGCCTCATCTCTCCCCCGCTTCATACCAGTACATGGGTTGAACTTCACTCTTTTGGCTGCGTCTAGTGTTAAAACAATTATATTACAACAGAATAAATAGTTGGCAGGCTAATATTTCTATTATCAAATTATGTGCTCAAAAATAATTTTGTATAGCTAATGTTGCACCTATTAGCATTTATCGTAATTAGCTTTAATATCTGTAACTTAAGTTATGAGGATCAAGCAAAACATTAAAACTGTGTTGTTAATATTTATAAGAATAATAATTCAAGATAATGTGATTCTATGTAAATGTCACGATATCGAAACCTATCTATTGATAAGCATATAGAATGAGGAGAACAACAATTCTGCTTAGGTATTTTAAATGTTAGTAAAATGTATGAATATATTTGATTAGCAACTGTATTTCATAGCAGCAAATAGAATAAATAAAGTTAATAATGATAATTGTGATTTGTTTTAGCCAAGAAAGTTTGCCTATTATAATTTGTGATATCCAATGTTTTAACTGATACATCTTCAGTGATTATGGGAATTGATTTTTATTATGTGAAATGATAAAACTGATGATGGAATTGGTTTTAAATTGTTAATGAATTTGACGCTGTATTTCTATGTACTAGAAATAGATGTTAAACCCCCAAGTATTATGGCTGCTACTGCTAGTTGATTTGCCATTGATGTGAAATGCATTTATTATTTTTACACACTAGACTGGACAGCACTCCTGGTTGGTGTGTATAGTACTAAATATTAAATATATAATGGTTAAACAGAATAGGCTCTGTACTGTTTATGAGCATATAATTGTTTTTGGTCACAATTTTAGAAATATTTTAGGATGAGAGGCGCAATAAAACATTCCAGTAATGTGCTGTCTTGTTTTGTACTTAATATAATTAGGTTAAACCATTTTATATGTACATTTTGATGAAAAATGATGTGATTATTATTTGTAACTAGCTATTTTATATGAAATAAACATGATTTTGTTATGTAGTTATTTTTATAATTAAATAAGTAATAAATATTACAAAATTTATAACTGCATTATAATTTTAATTAGTTATTAATATTCTAGTACTTATCCATTTTATGGTAGTTTCTCAATTCATACTTCATGTTGGTCAATTATTACTAAATAACATTTTCATGACATTCTTGCATTAATTAGTTAAAGTTAGTTATTTTTATGGAATTTTTAAGTTTTACAGTTTCTTCACCTTGTTTTTCTTCATATTCCTCATTTCAGTTTTATAACGTTTCATTTCCTGCAGGACTTGAGTGCGTCTTTCTTTCATTTGCGTTTGATAATGGGTTTTACTCTCATTGAAACGATCTTGGAGTGTATCTTTCTTTTCTTGAAAAATTTCTTTTATCCTTTCTCGTGAAGGGACTGGTTTGATGAAACCCAATTCTTTTAATTTTTTAATGGCAACTGTTGTCCCTCCTAGAAAGCAGTAAAATGTAAATAATATTTCATGGGTTACTTATTATAGAAAAACTTAGAACCATTAAAATAAATTGTTTGCATTTTAGATGATGAGACAAAGGAAGTTATTTTAATATGCAAATACCTTTATATGCAAATTCTCCTTTTCAAACAGCTTTAATAATATGAATAATGAATAAATTATTAGTAGTAAAAAATATGACATTACCTACTGTTACAGTATACCGCAAAGGTGTTGCCAATTTGTACAATGCTAATGCGAGGGCAAAATATCCTGCAGCAGAGTCTCTTAGGGGAACAATTATGGTTTCACTGACACCCAATGTTTTTAATATAGCTAACACATCAACACCACTGTAAAGATATAAAAGTTAATCAAGTGATATTCCATCTGGGACAAATTCAAGGTATTTCAGGTGTACATACCTTCTAACAACATAGTAAAAACTTCCAAACCAAATAATAGACGTAGCCACATGAACAGGTATTAGCACATACCAATAATCCCTGTACATTACTTTAAATTTTTGTATAAGACCTACTTTCACTTTTGTTGGTTCCCCATCTGATGGAGTTTTGTCTTGAGTGGAATATAGTCTTAAGCTTGTAGCTTGTATTGTTAAATCCTTTGTCTCAAGCAAGGGTCTTGGATTGTATTCATTATGATAACAGGGGCCAATTGCCATACTTCTTACTGGATATTTCTCTCCGACACTCCATTTTACCGGTTTGGTTATATTTTGCAAGTAATAATAATTTTTAAATAAGGCCCTATAAGTTAGGGCCATTTTTATTCATGTATTGATAATATTGCACAAAAATCTTACGAACTATACATTTTCTAATACTATTCGGAAAAAATGTGTAACGGGATAAGATTATTGTTGACAGGTTTGGATGAGAAGACAAGTTATTGACACTGACGTTTGTCGTTTGACAATTTGTCAAAGAGAAATCCATTAGTTTTAGTTTTGATGCTTTGGTACAAAGTCTTTTTAGTCTTAAAAAAATTAATCGATGGATCAAGGACGTTGGTACGATAGGTTGACCAGCTGGCAACCATACATGACTATAATAAGTGTATAGTAAAAAAACATTATCTTTGATAACTGATAGATAGTTAACCAAACATAACATTTTACTATGTTTAAAATTCTGTGGATAGGGATTATCCAGTCCAGAGCCTGTGAAACCAGTTTTGAATATTGTTGTTTTGTGGAGGCACTAAACTAATCACTTATATTACAATACACAGTAGTACACATACCTACCCTCCTCACTTACCGCCTGACGAAGCTTCAGGAGGTACCTGAGGTCTGATGAGGCGGGAGGAAATGCCCGTATGTCATCACTGCGAGGACCGCCCTGAGGACACGGTGGAACACACAGTGGGGGCCTGCCACAAATGCCCTGCATGGGCTGAGCACCGCCCTGCCCTCAGGGAAGTGATCGGTGATGGCGACCTCTCGCGTCCGGGTCTAGTGCAGGTCATGATGCGGAGCGGGGGGGACTGCGATGCCGTCTCCTCCTTTTGCGAAGCAGTTATGCTAGCTAAGGGGGAGGCTGACTGAGAACTGCTACAAAACGAAGAGCAGAAGGAGAGCCAGGTACCCTACTTATACAAGCTCATTTGACATTTATTTTGAATTTTTGACCATTAAGAAAAAAGTAAAAGCATTTATTTCAACAGGACCAAAAATAGAAGTTTGTCAGTCTGTCCGTCATTGAAGCTGAAAAAAACTTTCACATTAATAATAATAATGCGATAATGTAGGTAGGTATATTTTATATCCTACTTTTATATATGCGAAAGTCTAAATTTGTTTGCTTTGTTACGCCTTCGTGTCAAAGCGGCTGAAGGGATAAAATTCGGAAAAGGGGTAGATCTCAGTAGAGAAGTCTGTAATAAACTAATAACACACAGGCTACTTTTTGTCCCACGGGAACGTAGGCGAAGCCGATAGCATAAGCTAGTCATCAATAAAAAAACACAATTAGCCACAATAGCAATACAGTTTAATGTCCTCGTTTTCAACGCAGTCACTTTGATTTCGATAAAGATTCAATCGGCTAACTGTGCCAGAGATGAGCCACCGCGACTTATCCTGGGTAAGAGTACCATCAAGAATTCCTCCTCCAGGCTCAGTTTTTACCATCACTGTGTAAATTCGCCAATTCCCATTATTTTCTACTAAATACACGTCATAAATGTAACTAAGGGTCAGTTTATGACATTGCGGATATTTTTTTAACAGCTTATTGATTTGCACGACGAGATTAGTTGCAGCCATTGTCTTGATGTTGTTTCCTACTTTAATTTTCTCCCCTCGACGACATGCACACCAATGTTCTTCAATACCAATTGATGAACAACTTCTTATGGCAGATATAGGAACAAAAAGACTCGATTTGTTCGAACTAGGAGCACTACTTCTCTGTTTGATTTTGGAATCATCTAGTGAATTTAGATTTATCAAGTCTAGCAATGTTTCATGAATATCATATGGAGTAGTTAATCGGTGAACATTATGTTGTATATTACGAAAAGCTAGTTTATAACGCTGTTTAAACTGTTCTGGAAAAAGTACATTCAGTAATGGCAAACGTTCTTCCAATCGACCTTGTTCTGTTTCAACTATTTTACCCCATCTCATGCCATGGTCGCTTAGGATTATAAGTACAGTTCGATTCAAATAATCATTTTTATGTAATTTACTCAAAAAGTTTACATAGGAATCGTCCATGATATGGGGGCTGTTAAGGTCTTCATGACTTATCGATTCTTCCCAAAAGATACCAAAGAATTTATGCAAGATCAAATGTTGAGCTAATTCATAAATATAATCTAACAATATTCTGTAAAAATATTTCGAGCCCATGCATGGGTGAAAGTTGTACTGCTGGTTTTTAAATAACTTTCTAGTTTCGAATATAAATGGTTGTAAATATGAGTCAGTCGGTATCCTTGGCAAAGTATATTCGTAGTTGCCTAATAGGCCAGCTATACTATCAGAGCCTAAAGCAGTGTGAAATCCTTTCTCTTTAAAGCTATCCCATATAAGGGCACATTTATCAACATTAAATATGTTATTTTGGATGCATGTTTGCTTTACATATTTATATGAGAATCCCGAAAGAAGAGGAAATAAATTGGGAAGTGAGTTGTCACCTAATTTGTTATAGCCATGTAACTCTACAGCACCTCTTTCCTTTAGAAAACGTGTCGTCTTAGGCATAGTACGATGAAAATTAAGTCGAGACATGCTTTCAATACCAAGTATAAGGACATTAAATGGTTCTTGACTGTGAGAATTATTGTCAAGAGAGCTGTCGGTTTGCGAGGTGTTGATCTCTTCATGGAAATCAAATAAGAAAAAATCTGTGTAAATTACTTCATCTAGGTGATAGCATTCAATTTGCACAAATTCGTGTTCCGCTTTTATAACATTTAAAAATTCTTTGCATTCACTATACATTATGTTTTCTATGTTGGTTGAAGAAGAGAAATTTTTATAACAACAGTAAAACGTGTCTTCTCTAAAAACGTTGTAAGAATAGATAACTTCATGCGCCACCCAGATGTGGGATATATTTGCTCTGACGAGCTTTTCAGGCGTACTACAGTTACGAGTTAGGGGCGGAGCAGCAACTATCATTTTTATACTATCAGTCACTTTAGAAAAACCGGGTATGGTACACCCTTCTGTTCGTATCGTAAATAATTCACTAGTTATGATCATAAGCACTTCCTCTATGGCCGTTACTAAAATGCAACAGAAAATTGTAGAGAAATACATCGTAGGTACTTAGGTATTATTATCTAAGCTTTAAACACTTGAATAATTAAAATTAGGTAGGTATGTACAAACTTACTAATTCACATTGAATAGGAAATTCTACTACTCCATCTTTTGCGGAAATTGTTACTTCACAATCACAATATTGAGTACCTACATACCTAATTGTTTCTAAACACACCGATAAAACTTGGGTGAAATTTTAAATTAAGACCACGTTCGCTGCGTGGCCGCTACTCCCGCACTAGGTAGGCTTGATACAAACACGTTGGGTGATCACGTCATAATACATAGTACGAGAGGTGACGACCAAAACCATGTCTCATAGCAATACGGCAAAAACCCTATAAGATCGTTAGATTTTATGATTCTAAACCCGACTAGGTGTATAGTAACGGTCGAAAGTGTAGCAACTGCGTGGGAGGCCATTTCTGCTGTGTTAAAAATATTTGAGTATCGAAAAGTTGTCTGATAGAGAAGGTGCTACACTTATTTTGTCTGATATACATTTTTTGCACATGTGGACAACTTATTTTATCATGTCCAACATTTTTCAGACATATTGCCATGATACCGATCGGTAAAATTTTTTAACATTTTCAAAACGGTTTCAATATTTAATGCGTTCACATTTCCGTCTGAAAACTGTTTTGTTCGCATCAAATAAACAAAATTTACTAATAAAAAAGGTTTTCAGACGTATTGCTATGAGACATTTTTTTTGTCTGGTGTTTTTGTGGTCAGATCAAACGCTACGCGGAAAATGTCTGATAATGGTATTTTCGAGTTCGGGATAATCGTATCGATTTGAGGCGGTTTTGGCCGTATTGCTATGAGACAAAAAATTTGGTCGTCATCAACTAACGGAAATGCCGATACAGAAAACTAAATAATGTTCAATCGAATAAAAATAGGGATTGACCTAAAGAAGTAAAGACAATGACTGTTCATCATCAATTAGAATATCTATTGGATTAGCGCTGTATTACCTACTTACATTTTGTTGGATTTAAAAATTCGAAATTTATAACAAATAACCCGATGTGGATTGCTGCGATTGTATCTAATATGGTCGTAGGGTCGTCTTATATTAAGTAACTATGGACGTTTACAAATTGATGTTAATATTTCTTAGCCTATTTTATAAGGAAATAAATTTGGTTAATAATAATATAACTTATCAATATTTTTATTTAATTTAGCATAGCAATAAGTCAATGAAACTTTGTTATGAAATTCTTAATGTAGTTCTTCAGATTTAATTGAGATTTGGAATTCATTGCGTTCTACTCCGTTCTAGTATCTAAAGTAAATCTCGGATTTTGACATGGTTTTTGGCATTTGGGTAAGTACTACCTCTAGACAAACTAATTAAAATATTAAGAGTGGTATGGTACAACTTTCAGTTCGTAAGGTTAATTGGACTGCGACTTTGAAGTGATGTTTAGATTTCGAAATGGCAATGTTCAAATTAACCTAAGTTCTTCAAGTGAAACAAGTGAAACAAGTGAATTTATTTCTGCAAATAGGCTACAAGGCAGCACTTTTACACGTCAATTTTATCAAGCGAACGATGAGGTCGACATTTCCTAACTGACTACTCTGAGAAGAAATGCCGAAACAAACTCAGAGGTCAAATTCGGATTTGAATAGAATTTAGAGGAAGAACACTGCCTCGTTGGCCGAGTGGTCGCAAGTGCGACTGCCGGGCAAGGGGTCTCGGGTTCGATTCCCGGGTCGGGAAAGTATTGCTGGGTTTTTTTAAAATCTTAGTAGTAGCACGGAGTCTGGAAATGTGGCAATAGGCTCACCCCCTATTACATGGGACTCCTAACATAAATAGTGAAAATTGGGTGTTACATTGTACAGTGGCATTAAGTGCCGTAATGTGCACCTCTGCCTGCCCCTTCGGGGATAAAAAGGCGTGATGTTATGTTATATTTAAGATTAGTGACAGAAGGAGGGAGTCAGGGGATCTGGATAAACACTGGGCACTAGGTGCAGTTTCAAAAATTTTAATGGAAAAAATTTACGGCGAGCCATAATTAAAAAATGAAAACTAATCAACAAATCACTTTTATTAAATAATAGCCTACTTCGTTTGGTTTCTGAACTTAATAAA